CGGGTTTCGCTGGGGAGCCAAACAATAAAAGGGAGCGGGGCTCAAGATCCGCACGCCCCAGCCGCCCTCATGCGCGGCTTGGGACCCCGCAGCACAGGGAGAGCGCTGCGGCGGAGCCCCCGGCGTGGGGACACTGCTCATGGCAGGGGCAGAACCTGGCTGACGCTCAGGTGTAGCGTGCGGGGGCTTGTGAGCAGAGATTGCCAAACTGCCGCGCTGATGCAAGCCTGGAATTGGGAGCTGAGCTGGTGTTTTGCCTGATAACTGCCCTCAGCTTCAGGCGATGTCACCTTGCACAAGGAACACTCCAGCCCTTCGCCGGCTCCTGCCACCCCTGACGTTTATGGTACAAAATCCGGTTAGGGCTGCTTTAGTTAATCCCTGGACTCCCTCTTACAGCATTGCATAAACGGCATTACAGCTCGCCTAAACTCTTCCTCTGTCACTTACTGTATCGTTTAATTTTCTTAAATCTTCCATTTTCTCCCTCACTCCTTTAGCTACGACATCGCCTTCGCTATCACACAGACCTGGTTTCCCTCCACACCATTTCTTACACCATTTTACATCCTCTTAAAATTTACTGACACATCGACCCAGCTCTGCTGAATCCGACTAGCGAGTGACAACAAAGGAATGGATCAAGACTCTCATTGGGCATTTAAAATTGGGATCTTAATAACTGAACAGTTTATTTGTTTGATTCCATTAATTAATTTGGTTCCCAACTTCCTGATTGTTCACTTAGTACATCAGATTTACCTTCTAGCTTGCGAGAGCATTACAAGAGCATTGGGAAAGGAAGCATCTTGATTTTGCTCTGTTGTGCAGATAAAAAGCAGTAACTAACTTACACAGCACAATTCAGCACTTCAGATTTGCAAATTGACTGAGTTTTATAGTCTTAATTCAGGAATATTAGTTTATGCAATGAAAAACTAGTAAAGCTTTTATTGCTGTTTCTATAGATGACATTTCCTTGTTGTTATTAAGTATAAATGAAACAAGAATGAGCACGATGGTGTGCAGGACAATACTGACAATATTTTGTCATTTTATATATATACATATAGACATTTTAGTATACTCCAAAACAGCCACTTTGGATAGCCTTTATAAAATTTCTGATGTGATATAAGAATGACACTGGATTTGAGTAATGGAAGTAAATTTTTTTACAGTTTCTAGAATGTGAGAGCTTGGGAAAATTGTTTTTTCTTGAATTAGAGAGCTTTGTTTTTAACAGGCAGCAGAGGTCAAACTGTTGGATGTGAAGCCTGGATTTTTCAGTCTGATTCTTCATATTCCAGCTGGTCCGATAAAAGGCAGAACTTCTCCTTTTTGGTAAAACTAACCTAGGCAAACTTAAAACAGATACTGTTTTCTAACTGTTCTGGGATCTCTCACTTTCTTAGGACTGGGCATTCCTATGAAGAAAATCAGCTGTACAGTTACTTTTCCTCACTGTTTTCCATGGGTTTATTAAGGCAAAACCCAAGGACTAAAAAACTTATTAGAATTAATTCTCCTGCCAGTACTTAGCATACAGGAAGCCATCAGAGAATGTTTGGGAGATGCTTGCATAGCCATTACCCTTCTCCATGAACAGTCCTCATGGCAGTGATTCTAACTTGTGCTGTTATTATATCTTCTTATACTAAATTAATATTTTACAACATTACCACTTTTTTTTTTTTTTTTTTGTAAGCTCTGTGTTTCTTTAAAAATTCCCTCAAATACAGTTCAATGTAAGTATGGTACAGAGTTTGTATATCTTGGCTAACTCAAGACTTAAAGAAGCCTTAATTTCTTTTACTTTTAACAGGGAAGGTTTTTAGAGAAGACTGGACTTTGCAGTCAAATCACTTTTGGCCGATACGTGCGACAGGGACGGAAACTAGGGGTGGATCCAAAGCTCTTTATCCAGGATCTGCAGTTTAACAAAGTACCTGTGAGGGTTTATCAGCCTAAAGCTACCTCTGATGGGCGAAGGAGAGGTATCATCTTCTTTCATGGAGGAGGCTGGGTATTTGGAAGTCTTGGTAAGATATTTGCTGGAGGAATTATAGTAATGTAGAAAAAACATTCTCATCTTTTTATAAAATTGAAATAAGAGGAGGTTTCAGCATGTGATTTGGGAGGAAGTCTGAAGACAAATACATGCCTTTCTGGAATGAACATTCCCTAGCTGTCTCAAAGATCAGGGCAATGGCAAAGCACTAACAAAAATATTTCTTTTCCAGATACCTATGAAAAAGTGTGCCGCTACATATCCAGAGAAAGCGAATCGGTAGTTGTATCTGTTCAGTAAGTGAACTCTACCTTGTTGTGTTGTTTGGAGATTATTGCTGTGGTGCCACAGCAGAGCTGCACTGGTCTGGGAGATGTTCTTTTGCAGAGAAATTTATATAGAATTCAGTGCAGCCCATAAAGAGACAAGTAATGAGATTTCACTGTTTTCAGCTCTTAACTGTTCATGCCCTGATATACTCAGAAAAGACCCAAATGGAACTCTTTGGCACACTAAGAAAATCAATAAAAGCCAGTCAAAAACTTAGATAAAAAAAGTCTCCCTTGTGCTGAACTTATGAATGTGTAGTTAGATGCTCTAAACAATTGTGATTTATAGAAAAAGAGAGAAGAATCACACTGTATTACTCCCATTTTACACATAGGAAGCAGAGACACAAAATGATAAAAATTATCTTGTCAAGAGAACACAGGGAATTTTCAGCATGACTAAGAAATGTAAAGTCTCAGTCAGACTCTCTAATCAGAAGACAATCTGACTTTACTGAGTCCTTGTGATTCAATACACAATTTACAGCTTATCTGCAATCATTAACTGAGGATTGCCTGCTTAGGAGGTAGTGGATACCCTGACATGGAGGAAAACCGCCCCAAAATGATAGGGCTGGAAGACAGCGTAGGATACCATTTCCTGATCAATACTAATGATGTTTCCTTTGCTTATACTTGTCTTTTTTTATGTGCTAGGTATCGTTTAGCTCCTGAACACATATACCCTGCTGCATATGAAGACTGTCTTAATGCCACCATACACTTTATGAAGGATATCGAGCACTATGGTGTGGATCCTGCCAATGTAATTGTCTGCGGGGACAGTGCTGGGGGCAATCTAGCAGCTGCTATTAGCCAGAACCTTGCAGGTAGATCAGACCTCCCCAAACTACGTGCTCAGGTCTTGATCTACCCAGGCCTTCAGGCACTGGACTTCAATTTACCATCCTATCAGCAGAATCGAGGAGTCCCTCTCTTATTTCGAGAACGTGCCGCTTTCTTTGCTTTGCAGTACCTGAACGGGGATGCACTGCATATGCAAGAGGTCTTGGAGGGCTCTCATATTCCTCCAGATATGAGGCTGAAGTACAGGAAGTGGGTGAGTCCAGACAACATCCCTGAAAAATTTAAGGTCAGAGGTGTGAAGCCACTTAAGTCCACTGATTTTATAGCTGAAGTTTATGAGACAGTGAAAAGATTCTGTGAGCCCAACCTGTGTCCTCTGTTAGCCGAAGATGCTATTGTTCATCAGCTACCAGAGTCTTTTATCTTGACTTGTGAGTATGATGTGCTACGAGATGATGGCTTGCTTTACAAGAAGAGACTGGAGGACAACGGTGTTCGAGTGACCTGGTACCACCTTGAGGATGGATTCCATGGAATCATAAGCCTATATGATTATTGTGGTTTTTCATTTCCAGCTGGGAAAAGGGGCTTGGACAGCGTGGTTAACTTCCTAAAAGGCTTATAGTAAACATCTTAGATTCAACGAGTCTGTTTATGCCTCAACCTAGGAAAATATCTTTTTAGGATATTTAATATCAGGTGATGGGTAGACAATGAAGGGCAGCCATTAACAATGACAAACAAGGCTCATCAAAACCTCATTCCAGCGGTTAGTTGGAACATGGAATATGCAAACCTTGTGCAAGCTTGTACCATGCTGCAAGCCCTTATCTTTAGCTATGTCAATAAAGAACATTATTTTGAATGGACACCCTGGTTTGTCCCACTTGTTTAAAATAAAACATGTCTGTCTATGAAGAGAGACTGTGTGTCATGCAGATGTGTATGGTGTGTTGGTGTAGAGGAGTGTGTCACTTATATTACAGTGTTTTGAGACATACACTGCGCTCTGATTCTGAACTCTATTAGAGAAGAATAACCCAGCTGACTTGAGTGGGTTAGGAGCCATGGTTTTGCTCAACAGTAAATATGATGCAGCCTAGAATGTGGTTACTGGATCAACAGTCACCATGGGGACAGCAAACAAATGGTTCTATGACCAAGCAGTTCCACATGTCACCCACATTTGTCAGCACACAGGCAGGCAGAAATGGAGCTCCTTTCTGCCCTGGTTTAGCACTGGACTACTAAGTAATCTTTCACCCACGTAACTCAAAGGACAGTTCTAACAACCAGGGAGGGTAGTGGTGGTGAGAAAAAGAAATATGTTTACATCGCGAAAAAATGGGCAGGACTGGTGGAAAATTGAACCCAAATACTCTTCTAAAGTTCTCATTGGAAACTGGCTGGAAGAGAGGAAAAGGGTAAGATCAGGAAAGAAGAGTGACAGCAGGATTAGAGGGGGTCAAAACCAATGCTGTGGAGCTGTATACCATTGCAGTCATAAGCTAGAGTCCAGGCTCATCTCAGAAGAGTAATAAAAGGGAGAAGGATAAGCATCTTGCTTCATTTTGTTTATGATCTGCCATCCTTCTCTGAGCCAGGACAGAAGCAGTGCCTGAGCATGGGTTATATTGTGGGTTCACACCAGATGCATCATTAATCAATTAAAAATGCTGTAGCACTTTTTATGGCAGTCACTTCAGACTGCTAAATTTACATACAACTATAGAACAACAATATATACATCCTAATAATATATACATTATGCAAGAGAGGCTTCATTAACCCTTCTGTAAGTTAATACTTAGTATTACTTGTATCAGAGGATCTTTAATAATTTGGATATTGGCTTCATTTGCTTGTATAAACAAGAGCATCTTTGCTAGCAGGGCTGCTCAATAGATTGCATGCCCTGCTTAAGAGCTGAGCAAAATTTTATCATTAGACATTTAACTTTGTCAAAAGATGCCAGTTAGGTTCAATATTGGAGCTATTAGAGAAAATCCTCCTGACGCTGCTAAAATTACTTCCTTTAGATTTATTTTCTTTTTGCTGGAGCAAAATGCTAGACTATATTGCAGAGACTGGTCTGCTGCTGCAGAAGTAGGAACAAAGGGACAAAAAAAAAAGGTTCATTTGTCCTTTTCAGATGCTGGTTCACATGGCAGGTGGAAGTATTTTAACACCAAGCCATGAATCATTTTTCAAGGCCGGTACAGTATCTTATATTTGCACCAAGGAATCGATCCAGACTTTTATAATAGCTGATTATACCAGCTGACTTTACCATCTGACAAAAAGTACATAGCACAGACTTCTTTCCAAATAAGTGCTTTTTAAATGCATAGATGAAAAAAGCAGCACTTGAACAGAGCTTCTGTAATTGTCAGATTCCCTTGGTTATACTGATTGTTGTGTATCTCTCCAGTTTATAAAAGACACTGGGAAACTTGGCAGCAGCATATACAGAACAGACTTCATTTGCTTCCCAGATCACAGACCAGACCAAACACTAAGGAGAGCCATGATGCTAAAGTCTGAGGTAAGCAAAAGAAATTTCAAATGTAGGGCTGTGTGTACCAACATTCCAAACAGTGATAATCTTTGATTAATACTTAAATCATATTTTATGTCCTTAAACAACTACATGTGTAAAAGAAGGCACTGCAGCTCTGTGACCAGTTTACAGGATGCAGAGCTCCCTCGCATGAAGCAGGATGCCTTTCAGAGGGAGACAAACAGCATGTGCTTCTTGGTACTCTCTGGTTGTTTCCCAGTCTCTGCCTTGGAGGGTGACCAGGACACATGAAGAAAATCAGTATGTTACTACCAGCTAGGACTGGGTATTGTGTCTTCAGGACATTCGCTGGGCTATAAGATGAGCTTGCTGGTAAAAGAGGATTATTTTCATCAGCACACCTCTGATCCATAGGTACAAACTGCACTTAAATGAGTCCCAGATCATTCACAACAATACTTTTCCCACAAGTATCATCTGCTAGAGTGTCCCTTCCTCCAAGGTGCCTCTCCACCCCCAAATATTACCAATCTCTCCTGACAGACAGTTAGAAAGCAGTGTATGTAATGCTAGTGCACAATGAAACACTTGAGCAGCACAAGACAAGCAGCTTTTCATTTGCAGGTTTCTTAAATGAATCTGCCAATCTGTGATACATGTGTTGAAATTAGACTAATCAGATCTCATGACATACAAATGTAGTTGCTTAATTTAACTGGAAATCTACTGTACTAGAAATGCAAATACCCTTATTTTCAGGGATTAAATTATAAGTAAAAATATAAGTACAGTCCCACTCCAAAGCATGCTAAGCCACCTGAATGCTATGCAAAAGACAAATAGCATGGTTTCATGTACATCTCATTTCAGGGCCTGCCCAGGCAGCTGCTCTTCAGCCACCACGACGAACCAAGAAGCCGAAATTTAGTATCGGAGTATGAAGATAAATACAACAGACACGGTTATAAGCCTGTGCTGGTTCCCGTTTACAGCTGGAATGGATGCAGATTTGCCTGGATTCCTGAGAAATCAGATTCCCCCATTCTTGGTAGTTTTTGGCATTATTATTTCAAACAGATGTAACATGGTGCAGTGGTCAATATATAGACTTCAGGCAAGGAACCCCCTTTGTTTTAATTCTGAAAATGTATCTTGTGGTGACTTTTGGCTAGTTTTTTTACCCAGCCAGTAGCTTATTTTTCAGATTGATAAAGTGGAAATGTTATCCATCTAACAACACTTGATCACCACAGGAAGCAGTGAAGGATAGTGTCAATGAACAGATTTTTCTCCCCTACACAATAATGCAAGACACTAGCTGAAAACAGGGAGAGCTGTGAGATTCCTGGAGTATTGTTATGTCTCTGAATTTAAGTGACATGTACAGCTCTGCTAACTTTTAAAATATCTTCCAGAGAGACTATGAAGAATCAGGTCTCCTTACATTTATACTATTTTCTGCTGTCCTATTGATACCTAACAGTGATTTTCTCTTCCAGACAGAGGGTAGACATACATGCCCTGGAAACAAAAATACCTGTTTTGTTCTTAGTCTGCTCTCAAAACAGTACAAATATTCCCTGTGACAACTGTGGAGTAAAAACACCAGAACCAAAAAATTAATTCTATAATTTCTAACATTTCATAATTTCCTATTTCAGAACCACCCACCAACTATGGCCTTCTTGAGTACCTGATGAAAAAATGGCATGAGACAGAATCTGGAGTGATGAAAAGTGTCTACACCATTTCCTATGAAAAACCACTGATTTCTGCTTTTGCTATTGATCAGCTGAGACAACCACCTGAAACTTATGTCTTCCCTTGCAACCAGGGGCATCTTCCCCATATCCTGGAGTATGAAGGGGGTGAGAAATACCTGCAAGCCATCGACCAGCTAGCGAGATACAGAGAAGCAAGGGCCGCCTTTGTGTAAACTGCTTAGGGCAATCTTAAGCACTACTTAATAAAGCTTGCTGCTCATACACGTAAGAGTGACCTCTTTCATGTGGAAGGAATAAGAATTAGGTTATATAGGTCGAGCGCTGTTAGAAGAAGTTGCTGGGTTACATTCTGACCTGCAGATGGGTGGGAATATTTCAGAAGATATATGAAATAACTGAAAACAAAATTTTCATTTGGTGGCTTCTGTTCAATGAACAGTTGCAGTAAGAAAAAAAAAACAACAGAGTGGGATTGAACGTGAAAGGATATAAATTTCTTAATTGCTTTTTCCTTAGTTGTTCTTTTCATTTTTACACAGCTTGCTCTACATTTCTTTGAAGAAAGAGGAGAAAAGAAACTTGTGTTATTCCATAATATGTCTGAAACATCCAAGAATAAAGTAAAAATATGAAATGGCTGCATATCTAAGGACAAGGTGAACCAAGGTTTCTCTCAGTGCAGTAAGCACGCAGACCTTGGTTGCCCTTGGCTTTCCATACTGAATGGCACTTAAGGGTAGATAAGCTGCAAAGTGAACTCCATTAGCTGACCTTACATTACCAAACAGTAAAACTAGAAGAAATAGCTGCAGGACAGGCCATCCTGATACTTCACTCAGTTGAGAAAATATGTGAATGACCTATGTAAAAGGTGCTGACGGAAGTCCAAATTCTTATTGCACTGATGTGCAACTTCTGCATTTAAATCACATTTGGTCCAGAGAAGATAATTGCAAGGTTCAGCTGCTATTATTCCAAGGCTCAACAATAAACTTGCAGCAAGTTAAAGGCTTAAATTAAACATATCTGTAATTAATTCAATGCATATTTATCTCTTCATCAATTTTGCTCAAGATTAGCAATAATATAATGATTTTTAGGAACAAGATAAAGCATATACCTTAGTCTTGGCATGGACAAGCTTCTGGCCATGGTCTGTACAGAGTTTTACCTCTGCAACATTCTACTCACTGTGATTTAGGTTTGCTTTTTCAAGGTTGGATTTTCAACTGAAGGACATTGACGATTCAGATGTGTGTGTAGAGCAACAGTGGCACCTATTGGCAAAGTGATTCCTCACTCATCAGTGAGACAGCCAAAAAGTCTGCGGGAATGGTACACAGACCCTCAGCTGCATATCAGAAAGCAGCACTGTTAATGAAATCTTTTAGAGATGCAAGAGCCCTGATAATTAGATAAGCATTATATGGGGATTTTTTGTTGTTTGTTTGGGTTGGGTTTTTTTTTTGGCTTCAAAGCCCCAGGGAAATCAAAGGCATTTAGAAAAACGTGAAAGCAAAATAGGTGACAGTAGTCACTGAAACACAGCCAGCTCTTAGTGCTGGGTTATAAAAACACATTCTCTTGAATAAATATCTTTAAAATAATCCATAAAGAAGGCATGTCTTACAATGGAATGAAAATTGGCTGATACAGAAACTCTTGTATCCACAAGGAAATCTATCCAGATTCATTTTATCGCCAATACGACTATAAAAAGTGTATTTTTCTGTTTGTTACACATGTGCTAATATTTTTAATGAAAATACCAATCAGGCATGCATCTTAATGGCACAAGGCCCATATAATATTTAGAATACAGCTTAGACAATTATACAAAGGTAAAGTCTTCATTTCATGCAGCTCTATCAGTTTGCTTAAAAATCTTGTCATCAATCATTCATAATTATTAAATATTTATAGTAAATGAAACATTTATGGTTATTATCTACTGTGCTTCTAAAACCAAAGCTCATATATGGAAAGAAATTACCAGCTTGATGTACAATTTTTGAGATGTACAAGTGCCACCTATGAAATTTGTATGAAAACATGAATTCCCAATCTGTAAGCTGACTGGGCGGGGCTCCCCAAGCACAGGTCTAATCTGTTCAATTATTGAGCCTTTTACGAGTAAAATATTCAGCTTTGACACCCAGAGGAACCACAGAAAGCATGCTAGCTGACTGGATGAAATGCATTTCAACAGAGAGCTGCTTAAATAGAAAAATGCACAACACTACGAGACATGTCAGTTGTGATTCACAATACCCAGTAGCAAAGTATCTGCTTTGAACTGTTTAACTGATGATCTGGTTTCACTTCAGCAATACTAAATATGCATCACAGATATCTAGTGAGCTTTTTGGTGACTCAAGCCTCAAGCTGCTCCTGACATAAAGAGTCAAGGCTTCTCCATCTTTTGATTTGAGGTCAGTGAAGGTGGAATCAAGCACCAACCATCCAGTAACAAAAACTGCATGAACATACCTTTATCTCAAACACATGGCTCATATATTCTACAAGACAAAATTTCAGACAGAACAGCACTGATAATCAAGCTTTTCCCCCTCTTTTTTTTCATACAAAATGTAGTTGACCTAGATGATTCCAGACAGAACCTCCCAAACCCATAAGGCTGAGCCATTGCTGAAGGCAATGCTGCAAACACATGGTTACACCAAGAATATCTCATTTATATTTTCTTGCTGACCATTTTGATTAGGTCATAATCCCAGGTTCTGATCCTGTACATCTGTTTTATTGCCAATAGGGAGAGGTAAACATAGACACATTTTTTTCCAAGTACTATACTGCGTTTGGCAGAAGTGCATTACAGTAGGAATGGCAGATAAAAACGAAGGATGCATACACCTCTAGTTTCTAGGCACTAATTCTTGCTGAGACAAATAATGCTGTTTAATCAGTTACAATACTGCTGTGCTAGAGATTCCTTTAATCGTGAATGCCCTTGTGTCTAAAACAAATACATTTCCCAACTCCCTCAAATCTTCAGAAATTACAAGAACTTTTATTCAAGATAAAACCACGGAAAGCTTCAAGAACAGGTAAAAATTGAAACAATTAAGATGTTCACAACTGCCATGGAAAAGAGGTGAGAAAATCTGAAAAATCATCATTTAAAAATTTGCAATAACTCAAAAATCCATTTAGTAGTAAATAGAAAATGCAGCTAACTAATGAAAATGTACAAGAGAAACGCTGGGTTACACTATGAGATGCACACTTTTCAGGAAGAGGGGATATTAATGAGGAAAACAGCAAAACCTTATAAAGAAATGAGATCAAATTGAAATATAGACCTGGTGATAAAAACTCTTGAACCTGGAGACCTCCAAAATATGGATCCAGTTCAGAACTTCAGTACATTTCTATCAGACAAGTAAATAGGTAAAGTTTATTCTGGTACACTCTGATGTTGTAAAGAATAATTCATTAATGTACAACAAGCACTTTTGGACTCCTGGGAATCATTATAATATGCAAAGGATTACATTTTGCCGATGTGTCAGATTTACCCAAGCTTTTTTTTAATCTCAGGACTGTGTGGTCACTTGTGACTGGAATGCAAGAGTCCACCAGTTTCTTCAAATTTTCATGGAACAAACAGATATTTTGATAGGTCTGTTATGAAAATGTTCTAGACAGTCCTGATTGCATGAAATCAGCCTCATATTTGAACTTCTGTGACATTAAAGAGACAAAGTGGCAGTTAGAATTGATGCACATCTCTCAAAGCAAGCGTATTTCTTGCCTTGAAGGAGACCGATGTCAGCCTAGATGAGCTGCATAAACAAGAAGATAGATTCTTTGGACTGGGAATCTCAGTCAGGGTTGGGACTCAGACAAGGAACACTGATTCTGGCTGGCAAGTCCTGCAATAATTGGGGACTGTGGATGCCAGCTGTGAAGTGAGGGTGGTCACAGAGACTCAATGGCAGGGTTCCAGGGAGAAGAGAAACAGGCTGTTGACAAGAGGTTGTTCGCATGGTCAGCAGGCCTTTTTCAGAAAGTTATAAATATTCCTTGGAAGGTGCTTAAGAAGAGCTATCCAAGTCAGTTAACTGGTAAAACAGCTTCACTTGTCTGAATTTGAGCACTACCTAATGGGGACACAATGGCTGCCAAGTCCTGTCCTCCAAATCCACACATTCCATTGCACTGATTTCTCTGAACAGGACCTTTAAGCACGTATAGCTCCTGGGACTTGGATTCAGGCTCACCCTGCTCCCGTAAGAATATAAAAAAGCTTTCTTTGATGGCAGTTACACAAGGCACACGTAGCTGGCAAAGCTTGTTGTATATTTAAACACGTATTTTTCATATTGGTGATGAAAATATCAAATTGCCATTAGTAACTAGCTTTTTCCTTTTTAATTTTTTGGTACTGTTTGTTGAACTGAGCTGAACTGATCAGCTCTTAAAAGACCATCTTAAAATCATGCCATTGATTCTCTTTTTTCCCCTGTAAGTCTAAGCAGTCTAAACAGATTTCATTTACAATACACCTATGATGATAATATTACTGCCATATGGGGTTGTAACAGTTCAGGAAATATATTCATTTACTAGCTTTTAAAAAGAATTAATATTTGGTCCTTTTCTAGACAGCATGGCTTTCCTTGTAGAAATACTATTACACATCAAGCTTCCATCAAGATTTTCATCAAACAAAGCAAATACAGAATCACAGAACTGCCTGGACTGGAAAAGCCCTTTCAGATCATCGAGTCCCATCATGAACCCAACACTGACAAGTCCCCGACTAACCCATGTCCCTCAGCACTGTGTCTACATGACTCTTCAATCCCTCCAGGGATGGGGACTCCACCACTGCCCTGGGCAACCCCTTCCAATGCCTCAGAACCCTTTCAGCAAAGAAATTCTTCCTCACATCCCATCTCAACTGCCCTTGGTGCAACTTGAGGCCATTTCCTCCACAGTGGCATAGAGGACCACTGATTTCAATATGACGAAGTTAACCATTAAGCAGGGTTAGGCCCTGCTTACTCACCTGAACAAAGAGTGCATAAACTCCCCAAAACATGCTGTATTCTTTACAGAGGCATCTTTCTTCATTTATACTCCACATTCACATTTCAAAGGAGCCACTTGTCTTCAAGAGTAGCTATAATCAACAAAAATGCAGCAGCATGCCATGAACCTGATTTGCGCTAGAGCTGTCTCTAAT